GATCCTTTGCTGACAGATGATGCGTCTGCCTCAACAAGTCACATAACCTGATCTGTCAACACAGATTATTGTTAATGTATACAATAAAACAGGCTGCACACTATCAGACTGACTCAGACTCAAGAAAAGTGCTTTTGTCACATTGTCGGGCAAATCATTTTCTAATGGTGACATGATTTTTCTAAAAAAAAAAAAAGAAAAAAGAAAAAAAATGTTGTACTGTTGGTTGTTAAGATGTGCTATCTGTCTGACAGAAAAAAAAAGATTTAACAGGCAGTCACAACAGATCTCAACAGATGGAAGGGGTAAAAAAATAAAATAAATAAATAAATAAAAACCTCAAAAATATAAGGAAAAATGCAGTTCTTTCTACATGAATATAAACATCACATTTCCACCATGCACACACACGTATACACACACAGACATCAATTTTATCTCCATGTAATTCACCTTTGTAGAACATGGAGGGGGACGGAGGGGTCGGCCGAGTGCATCGATTGGCTATCCTTACCAGTGACAGTTCCCAGATTGGCCAGAGAGCATTAGAGAGTCAGAAAGTCACACTGCCATTAGCAGTCTGTCCTCTCTGGTTACAGCCTGCCTGCACATGGACACTCCATACTCTAAAATAGATTACAATGATTGGTGTGTGTGTGTGTGTGTGTGTGTGTGTGTGTGTGTGTGTGAGAGAGAGAGAGAGAGAGAGAAAGAGAGAGAGAGAGAGAGAGAGAGAGAGAGAGAGTGTGTGTAGAACAGATAGATGCCTGTGTCTGTGTGCATGTCTAGGAAAAGTGATCACTCTATCATTGTACTTCAAATATATTCTGCATTAAGCTGGAGCCAATAACCTCTGCACTAGCCTCCCATTTTTCTTATTTAGTGTACAGTGTATGTTACGACGTCTCAGAACACCCCATCCTCATCAAGGGAAATTTACCACATCTTTTAATAGGTAGGTAAATCATCACGTCTCAAAAGACATTATACATCTGAATATATGAATGAGAAAACCAGAGAACACATTTTATATGTGTTCATTTGAAGATACATGACTCGTTACATGTTACTGTATAAACTGTGGCTTACTACGAATGAATCCCATGAGTAGATCTGATCACATTCAGAGGAGCCTTGTTATTTTGTAGACTGAAGCGAAATCTACCCCACCCCCTTCCCGGGTTGCCACCCTCCATCTTCCAGCTCTCCTCACTTCTTTTCTGATTCACATCTCCACTCCATCAGTTCACAAGTCTCTGAAAAGGATGTGGCGTAGTCGGGCTGTGACAACGGGAGGTGGTGCATGAAAGCAGAGTTGACTGAGGAAACTGTGGTGAGATTGATAAATCAGCCAGCTAAGATATTTGAATGTTTTCTCTAGTATGCAGGATCAGCAGAAGGATGTCTTCAACCCTAAACACTCACGTTTGCCTTCACATAGGCCAAAGATGTTAGAACATACTTATTAACATTGGTGAGACATTTCAACAACCTTTATGCCCTATTTGTCATTACAAGTCAAATTAATTCCTGGTTCGACCTAATAAGAAACAATAAGTTACAGACTAGAAACCCTTTGCCTCCTATATGCTCTTTTCTGATCCAATTTAGCATTCATCTACATGTGCAAAAAGTTAAATAATTCCATTTCCACTGTGTGCCATAAGTGTTTGCATGTGTTAGCACTCTGCACATCCTAAGCTTAAAAGGAGAACATTTCAGTTGTGTTAAGAAATCAGGTTTAGATGGACATTTTTGTGAAGTACACACATTTCTTCTAACAGCATTCTGATGATTAAGGGCGATTTCCATGTGTATCCAGTCAAAGATATGAACACTCCACCATCCTTTCAGACTTATGAAAATGGCCTCAACCCGGCAGCAATATTAGCTGTCAAAAATTACAGCCTGCCATTGATCCAACAGCGTCGTGTGTCAGAATAATATAAGACAGTGAGGAGAGATGTGTCTAAAGTAAAGGGAGGAGAAAAACACAGAGCGCTGGAATAAATGTGCATATCAAGACAGGATTTTACGCCTCAGAGAAAGCACTAGAGGGAAAATCAAACTGATTTCAATGTGACAAAATTGATTTTCCAATTTTCTCCGGATTGCTTTCTGCCTCCCCCCGGGCAGGTGAGGTGTCTATTCAAATACACTAAGAGCTCCACATGAATTATGTCTGAGGAATTTGAAGAACAGATTGGCAAAGTTTGGCCATCTCTCGCCTTTCCTGTCTTCTTCTCTATGTGATTCTGCTTTGCTTTGGTCTGTAAAACTCTCCCTGTCACATACACACTGCACACATATGCTGGACATGCTTTCCTCAAAAACTTCAAACTTCAAACTACACTCTGGGTGGAATCGATGAGTGTCGTGCAGGGGCTATATTTCTGAGAATGTGCTGAAGAGGCTGAGTTTAAATCTCCGCAGACCTAGAGGAGGACAGTATAAAACTTATGCCTTCTGCACTTCCATCTGGCTCTGCTGTCTGACTGTGCTTTTGAAGAAGTCTGTCTCTTTTCTTTTTACATCGTTGCTGCACTGCGGGTAGAGTACTGCTAAACTCCCTGAGGATGTTTTAATTTTTCCAGAAAAATAAATGATGGAAGTGTGAGGATGAGGTAGATAGATCCTTGTAGATACAACGTAAGGACAATCATACATGGTGCTTCAGGCTTGTACTGCTTTTAGGTATCCATATCTCCAATCATGTCAAAACCAAAGCCAGCTAGTATCGCAGACATGGATTAGTCATTGTTGTTTGGATGTTTAGAAGGAAAAAAAACATGGCATTTGAAATGAAAGAGATTTCATAGACTGTGACACTTCTTGTCACACAGACTCACCGACTGAAATATTAAAGAATACACATCAAGCTGGGGTAGACAGTTGTTGTTTTTTTTTTGGCGTCAATGGGCAAAAATCTTGTAATCACCTTTCAGCTTATTGTAATTCAAGTGGTCTGAAAGCAAACAAGACATCTGCACCTCCTCTTCGCTCTGTTTTCAGACTTTCAGACAAATCTTTTCAGAAAGAGAGCGAGATAGTGTTCCAATTGGCTTTTCCACATACACAGATGTGTGTGTATGTCCCTTCAGATGGACATGGAGAGAACTGGCTGTACTTCTCCTGGACAGGTAACAGGCTGCTAACTTCATTTTCCTGTAATATCTAAATGTGTTGCAGTGGTTGTTTGTGTAGGTATATTTACCATGAAAGCAGGCGATGAGTGGCTATGCTGAACGTTGTTTAGTCTTCTGCAAACTGTAGCCAAAGGCTCACGGCTGTGGTTGTGTTACTTGTGTTGCATGTGCAAATAGAGCACGTGCATAAGCCCATGAGAGGAGAGCTACAGGAGGGCCACTGGATTTTCAAATACTGATGTTTTTGTTTTTCTAGATGTGTGTCTACCCCGGCTTTAAACACCACAGTGCTCTATTCGTTCTGTCATTTGAGGTAAAGGGGGTCACGACATAATAGGGGCAGTCCTAATGATCATTCAAAGAAGACATTTTGATAGGAATATTTTTGTCCCTTGAGCTGTTGTAGAACTCAAATGAGTGGGATAAATTGATGTCCACAAAGGTCTTTGTCACAGCATTGTTACTTCAGCTTCAAAAAGAGGAAATATAGTGGGGAAAAAAAAATTTTTTTAGGGAACATGCACTACATAAAGTCTAGCCTGCATGCATGTAGGTCTCATCAAACTTAAAAATGGCAGGTTAAACAGATAATGGCAAAAATGGTCTCCTCTCTGTGCATCTAAACAGATGAAAATCTGAGCGTGGAATCAGCCCTGTTCAGCTCCCAGAGAAAAATAATGTGTCCAGTCAAACCCAGTGTGGCCGCCACCTAAGCTGCTCATTAAATCAACAGTGTAAGTGAAATGATCAAGCATGACTCCGATGTGATTCTGCTGACATATAGAGACAACTGAGTTTGGGTTTGAGGTCTTTGAGAGTCCGAAGGACTTACTAATAACTAACAGCAGTTTATCACCTACTGAGAATAAAGTGAAAGGCAGAATCTGCTTTTTTAAGAGATTTATAGAGGCCACAAACAGGCTGACAATTTGGCTGTGTGCCTTCTTCAAAGGCATTCAACTGCATATTCGAACACCAGCCTGTGAGCGGTTGTAATAAATCCTGGCTGCAGACAAGAGGAGGACCGCTCTTCATGGAGAGAATCTTTTGAAATTTCCAGGAGGTGATAAGCTTCAGAAGTCTCACTTTTCTGTTACAGAGGAGAAACCACAACAACCTACGTGCATACATCTCTCAAATGTTTCAGTCTCTCAATCACCTCAGAAAACCAGCGCTAACAGTGCTCACTGCATTGATTACATCTCATTTCAATTACGCCGCTATTAAACAGTTTACTGTAGCTCGGGGAGCGGCTCATCAGGGCGGTTAGCTACCATGGTTCCAGCAGTTCCGGATGGGAGGTTTTCAGCCAGGCTTGTTGGACACCACCAGAGCCAGCGGATGAGTGTGTATCACCTCAATTAAACTATGCGCTAAGTGTCTGACAACAGCTAATATTCCTCTTCCACCAGCGAGCCCAATCGATGTTCTGGCATTCGTCACCCTGCTGAAAAAGCAATCATCCCGTTGTCTCGCTCCGGTTAGACGGGGAAATGGAGAGACGCTCATCTGACTTCTGCGCCTGCTCGCTGGAACGCACCACCGCTCATTCTCACAAAGACACACACAAACACGTATAGGTGGCATATAACACACACTCATACTGTATATACACGCTTTATACACACTCACATGTAGAGAAGAGGAGGATGTACAACAAGCTGCATCCCAGAAATGCCAGTGACAAGTGTAAGGCTTGAACATGTCCAAAAAAAAAAAAACTTAGTTTCACTTGAAAAAAGACCATCACTCAGCGCAGAGTGATACACACACCCACACACACACACACACACACACACACACACACACACACACACACACACACACACACACAGGTTGGCAAAGTTTACCCACCTCTCTGTCAAGTAACGTGGGGGAGATGACGGTGACAATGTCGCCTTTTTCTGCATCGATGTAGAACATGTTCGGGGACGGTTTGTCTGGTGACTGCCTGACAATGTTGTAGCGCAACGCGGCATTATCTGTGGCAGGGTCGTCTGCGTCGAATGCCGTCATTCTCATCACTGTGGTTCCTGGAGAAGACAGTGAAGGACAGGGTTGAGTCTGAACTCAGTGACATAGGGAGCAATATGACAGTGTCATGAATAAATCAAAGTTTTTAAAGGAATAAAAGACGAGCATAGAATACAGAGCAGAAGTTGCTTTTCTACCCTTGGGATCAAATTACCAGCAAAAAGTTCAAATTCTAATCACAAATTCCAATTATAGGAATATGTTCAAGCTAACGGTTCATTTTGCACACTCTCTTTATGTCTGTTCAGCCAGCCCATCTCAATGGCATTAGCATGTCATCTACATGATATCTCTTATGTATTGGATACAATATGTATTGTATGTGGTGTTCTAAAATTAGACCACACGTGTCAGCAGATGTCTGAAAAGTGCAATTTCAAACTACTGCTGCCCAGACAGCCACTTAAAAAGTTAGCCTTTCCTATTAATGTGATTTCTAACTCATGTCATCTCTAACAGCAGGATGCATTTTATTTGGTAATGGGAACAAAAATGGAAATCCTGCCCGCTGCACCTGAGCTGAAATAGGAGGCAATCCTTGACACACCCTCAACCCTCAATCTCTGTCTTCTTGTCGCACCGACTGAGAAGGACTCACACGCAAATGCACAGATGTGTGCTTCCAAGGCGTACACACACACACACACACACACACACACACACACACACACACACACGTTAGGTTGAGTTTCTTCTGAGTAGTGTTTTATAAAACTGGATCTCCATCCAGAGCCTCATGTTCTTGCTGTTATTACCTTGCAGTCAGACACTTCTGGTTAAAATATCATCAGCTGAGTACCTCTTCAATTTGTTTAAGTTTTAAGTTTGACTCATTCTCAGAGAGATGTGTGACTGCATTCTGATGAGACAATGTATTTGGGACACAGATGGAAACTTCAGATGAGTGGGGGATGTCTGGCACACTCTAAAATGTAGGACTGACCATTTTGTGGGTGTGGAATATGAAGTGATTTTTTTTTTTTTTTTACTATAAACAGTGGAGAACTATAATCAGTAAATCTTGGTTGCAGAAATACACTATAATTCTAAAATGACACAACTAATCAATGCGGATGATGATGTGATTCTGCTTCTGCTTTCAGTTTTTTTAACAATATGAGAGCTGACAAAAACACCCGCAAAGCATTTATTTTATCAAAACCCTGACTGAGTTACCTCACATAAAGCTGGTCCTTTTCTTCTCTGAAATCATTAAACTGACTGAAGTTTTATCTGTTCTGACAGGAAACCCTGTGTGATTCTTATTTGACCCACATACAAAACATTCTCCTAAGTACCACATACCAGCACTGCATAGCATGGCTCATAACCATCGATCTCTTTTCATGCTTCTTCTTAATACCCGACAGTACTTTGCCACAGTGCATTAGCCTAACGGCTCAAATAAGACACAAAAGGGCTAGAGGAAAATATGCAAAGTCTACATTAAATAACGGTAGCTTAGGAGCAAATGTCTTAAGTCCAGTTGAAGCTAATGAGGGGCAAAGAGATGCAGGTTTTATCCCCTTGCCATTTGCACTTCAAGGTGAACCGTTAATGGTTAAGTAAACCAGTAATCCTTCCTCTGCAGAATAATTACACAGTCCCATCTCCTTCATTACCTATACTCTGTTCCACTTCACACCTCAAAAGCGACACAGTTAGAGATGACTCGGTGAGCACGCGCACAAACACACGTGTACAGACACAGACACAGACACAGACACACACAGTTTTGCACACAGACACACCAACTGGCACCAAATTAGAGAGTTAAAAACGATGACTAAATTGGTTATCTTGAACAGATCTCAGTGAATTATGTTCTCATTTCGCTGGCAAACTGAGGTCTCCTGAACGCGGCACAATCATATTACATGTTTTATCTGATATCAGAGTCAAACTGACCATCTCAGTCCTCACTGTCTTCATCAGATATCGTAATTCCACTCACTCACAAATGACGATTATGTGACCAGTAAACATTTTCAGTCCAGAATACAACAGTCATCAGTATCAATCAGCTTATATGATAAAAATCTAGCTTTCTGTAATGGAACAATGGGGCTGAGTGTAACTCTAACACTAACATCTGTTGTGTTTAATCATAAAATGATATCATGTGAGTGGCCACAGTGAAGACTCATTGCCCTCTCTTATCAGCTTCATCCTCTGGCAGAAGCCAAGACTTAATCAATCTTAACTGCATTGGATGGTTATATGGTGGGACGGACGTGAATGCGCAGGACTGTGCATTCAGAACATTACTTCGCTATCACTGGGATCCATCTGCTGCACTGCCGGATGACACCAGCTCAGACTGGATGAAGAGAGAAGTGATACAATAAAGCTGGAGGCAGCAGACAGAGTCTGTAAACACTGTATGATGCATGCCTATCAACTTACTGGATTATGAGATGTACATATGTGTGACAGTTGGTCAAAAAAAAGAGAGAAAAGAAGTAGAGAGCAGGTCTATGACGTAAAACATCAACAATTCACACATGAAAAGACACAATGATTGACACAGAAAAAGAATTTGTGGATTGATTTCATCACACAGGCTGGTGGGACACGGCGTTGTTGCCTACAGCTAACCCCTATATCTTTCTCAAACACCAAGGGAAATCAGTGGGAGCCAGCAGATCTGTGGGTTCCACCAGGGAATTGACACATGGTGAAAAGTCAAGATGAGGCAAAGATGAAGATGAAGAGCACATAGACAAGATAGAAAAAAGGGTAAATATGATGCTGGTAGGTGTTTGAGTCTACTGTGTGTGCACCCAGACTGTGTGTGTCAGAGTGTATCTGCATGAGTGTTAGTGATTGGAGTTTCCGTTTCAATTATTCACCACATACAATGGAAATTTCAAAACCTCAAATGGGATTTATATTAATCAGACTCAAGCGACTGAAAAAGACCAGGAGCTGACCCGTTCTATTCTCAGGTGGGAATGAGATCAAAGGAAGTTCAAAGATGATTCATCTTATCCCTTACCAATACTGCTGAGATACATGATAATGAATAACAAGTACATATTCATTAGAAGCGGAATGCAGTGAGGAGGTGGTACCAGAGGTAAGCGTACATGAAAATGCTAGAGAGAAAATCACAAGGTGAGGGCCAACCAAAAGTTTAGCAGTAACAAAAATGTTAAAAATTGTGTGTTTGAGATAATACAATTTGTATATATATTATATATATATATATAATAAATATGGGAGGAGGAAGAGGACACTGAGGACTGCAGCATGGTGAAATTGTGTCAGGAATCTAATTTGATTGGTTTGTCCTCAGTAATAGATTGACAATTAAAACACTTCAGTGACAGCAGCAATGAATACTGCAGCACACAAAGGCCCTGAAAACCTATTTTCTCAATTAACTTCTTGTAATGACTGAACGTTTTCTGTCAAAGTTAGAAAGGTTTTGATTATTTATAATGACAGTTTTCTGCATTCGGGTTTTGGAACTTCCTTTCCTCTCTGGTTTGAAGTGGACAAGGTTCTGTTGGAAAATGGTGATGTTTCCTTGTTGTCAGCACTGTCAGTAAACTCGGATCCAACGACAGCCGACCAGTCCAGATGAAGCAGATGAGCTCCATTTTTAAGTGTTAAACTCTTATTACTCTAACTCGTATTATTTTTTTTTCGTTCTTGTTTGTTTGTTTTGGATGTTTTTTTTCCTAAACTTTAACTTTGATTGTTTCTTACTTACTTATGAATTCCAGTTGTTAGAGAAGCGATTCCTGCAATGCAAAAACTTATATTACTTTTCACATAATTTAACCTTACTTTTCCCCTTTGTGGCCTTGTGCTTAAATTTGTATTTCTTTAGCAGCAGACCACCTGCAGATGGGCTCATTTATATCCTTACTGAATACTCTGTAAGATATATAGCATGCAACCAGTGATGAGAATCACAACTTCAGTTTGGATGACTTTAAACTGTCACAAGAAAAAAGGTTGTATAGCGCTGGGGTGTAGTAGCTCATTTCACAAAAATCTGGCTGACTATTTTTCTTTCTAATACTCAGGAAAAGCTGATGAAAACCAAGACCAGTTCTGATGCCAGTGGTTAATACAAACAGGGACAGACTTTTATATAAAAGAAAATGACTAAATAATGTTTGCTTGTCAACAAAAGAGGAAGAAATTAATGCACTTTTCCTCAAGATGTGTTGGTGATGAAACAGCTATTCAAGGCAGGAGTTACAGAAGCAACATGTGCTTCTCTCTGTGGTTTGCATTGTTTGTATAGCTATTTATTCCCACTCAAATGTACAATTTCTGTTTCCTATGCAGCAGCAAATACATGCAGTCATGTCTATTAAGCATAAAGGTAATAATTGTGAAAGTAGTGCTGGTACACGGGCGAAGCAGCTTTGTCTATTTGACTGAATGGTGCATTGTTCTCTGCCTGTCTACACTGTTTGCTTGCCTATTGTTACCACTACACTTTTCCTCCGTGCTTACACGCCGGCCTGTCTGCTTGCGTCTGTGTCTTTTGTGAAACTTGTCATTTCAAAGGGATGATTCTAAAGATCTGATTTTTCTTTTTCTTTAGATCAAATTACTTCATACTTGAAGTTGAAAATGGCTGTTATGAGTCTTCTAAACTGTCTGACTTTTACTTTTCAGACTTTCCAATCTTTTGCTGTGTACATGTTGTAGCAGGGTTGCATCACACTACATGGGGCTAAAGTCACGAGGCCAGTTTCTTATCTGATTTTGATGATTTATTGAAAGTTTGGGAAAAGATACATTTTTTGTGCATCTTGTCTTAATGTTTGTAACTTATGTCTGTCTCTGAATGTATTAGGTCTGCTCTACACCTGTAGCCGGTTCCTTACCTGTATAAACACATATTTAGTAAATTCCTCTAAGCCATTAAACTGATGTGAATGTGTCATCTCTTAAGGCAGTATCAGCACTTTCACCGCCTGTTTGCCAGCTTATTTATTCCATTAGACTTTGCCTGTTTGCCTGCTTACCTGCC